CTTTCTTTCTTTCCTTTTGCCTTTCTTGTTTTTATTTTTCAGACAGGTCTTGCTGTGTTACCCAAGTTGGTCTTGAACTTCTGGCCTCAAATGATCTTCTGTCTGTCTTAGCTTTCTAAAGAGCCTGACTACAGATGGGAGCCATCAGTACTGGCTTTTCTTTCTTTGTGCTGTTGAGGCAGAACCAGAGCCTGGACATGTTAGATAAGGTTTGCCACACAGCTACATAGAAGTTTTTTTTTTTTTTAATTAAAGACACAGTCTTGAGTCTTGCTATGCAGTCCAGACTGGTGTGAAACTCCTGATCCTTCTGCTTTAAAAAGTTCTATTAAGCTATTTCAGGCATTTTAAAAAAATACTTTATTAAGGTATAACCAGGGGGCTGGAGAGAGTACGCGCTGCTCTTCCAGAGGACCTGAGTTTGGTTCTCAGCACCCATGCTAGGTGGCTCGCAACCGTGTAGCCCTAGCTCCAGGGTACCAGGGTCCAGCCTCCCTGGGTACTTGCGTAGACATAGCAGACACATATACACTTTTGAAAATCTTTGAATTGGCAGGGCCGATGAGATCCTCCGGGTAAAGGTGCTTATTGCCAAGCTGATGACCCAAGTTCACATGGCCCTGGGGCCCACATGGCAGAAGACGAGAATGGACTCTCTAGGGCTGTCCTCGGACTGCCCCATACTGTAGCTTTCTCCTGATGGTGAAGCAGTCTGAGCCAACAACTTTCCAAGCTGAATATTACAAGCAAGTAGGATCAGAACAGTCTCTCATTTTGGGGAGTTTGCTATTGAGTTTTGGAAGCAGATTGTCAAGAAACTGATTATTTAAAACTCAGAAAAAAGACATGGAACAAAAAGAAGATCTGAGGGCAGAAAGCATCTTTCATAAGAATCACGGTTTACGGACTCGCTGAACATAGCGGACAAGGAAGACTGCTGAGAAGTCAAGAACAATGGCACTGGGTTTTGATCCTACTGCACGTACTGGCTTTGTGGGAGCCTAGGCTGTTTGGATGCTCACCTTACTAGACCTGGAAGGAGGTGGGAGGTCCTTGGACTTCCCACAGGGCAGGGAACCCTGACTGCTCTTTGGGCTGATGAGGGAGGGGGAGCTGTTGAGGGAGGGGGAGGAAAAGGGGAGGCAGTAGCGGGGAGGAGGCAGAAATCTTTAATAAATAAATAAATATAAAAAAAAAAAAGAATCGCGGTGTAGCCTGGAGGCATGAGGTGTTTTCTAGGGTAACTAGACATTTCTTCAATGCTTTTGATGGGTCTTAGATAGCACTGGCTTTCTCAGTTACCTTTTGGAGATTGTTTTGGCTAGCATGTATGTAGTTTATCTAAGGAAAAAATGTAATATGCTCAGATTAGTCCTTTGTGTGTGGGGGTAGGAAATCAATGTGTGTCTCAAGTGTTTTCTACTATTGCTCTCCATGTTTTTCTTTTTCTTTTTTTGTTTTTTTTGAGATAGGGTCTCTCTATGTACCTCTGGCCAGAAATGTCCTATGTAGACCAGATCCATATGCTTTTGCCTCCTGGGAGCTGAGATCAAAGGCTGGTGCCCCCCTACATGGCACTACCTTGTTTTTTGAGACAAGGTCTCTCTATGAACATGGAGCTCACCGATTGTCTAGACTGGCTGGCCAGAGGGATCCTAGGTTCATCCTTTCTTCATCAAGAGCTGGAATTGCCGGGCGGTGGTGGTGCACGCCTTTAATCCCAGCACTCGGGAGGCAGAGGCAGGCAGATCTCTGTGAGTTCGAGACCAGCCTGGTCTACAAGAGCTAGTTCCAGGACAGGCTCCAAAACCATAGAGAAACCCTGTCTTGAAAAACCAAA